GAATCAGTAAAAATGTGTGTAGGTGTGAGGCAAAAAGTGTGAGAGTGCAAGTGCAGATCAAACCAGTGCGAGTGTGTACGTGCAGATACAGTGATGTTGGGAAGCTGTTGTCTATGTGTGTGTTTAAAAGACTGTGGGAAAGTGAGTGGGAGACCGGTGTCATACAATACACCTTCCTGTGGGCGAGTGGGGGTGGAGCTGAGCGTCGGTCAGGTAAATAGAGACTACACACCACCACATCTCAGAGGACATTATCCTACTTCTTGTTTCCAGTGCACTTTCACAGGCAAGTCAGCCATCTGGAGCGCTGACAGCTTTGAAAGACCAAGAGGGTTTTTTTTACGCCTCCCGAATGCCATGTTTCCACATCATCAAACAGGAATATTACACAGGTGATAATCTCTGACACTAATTCTACTTCAGTAATAATTTATGTTTTTTTTTTTTCCTTTTACACTTTATAAAGATAATTCCAGCCGGACATTTCAGTGCAGAGCGGTTTGAAGTGTTTCTGTTTGTGCTGGTTAACAAAAGAAAAACCTTGAAAAAGAGAAGCAGAAAAAGCCATTATCACATGTAGGAGGTATTAATGCACATGTAAGTGTGGGTTGAATCTAAAGAGCATGAGGGCGGTGATAGAATAAACCTTGTGGCTGTAGGATGAAACCATGATGAAGAGGAAAGCTTTGTTTCAATTTTCTTTACAGTTTCGAGGTACAATGACATGAGAGCTGATGATGAGGAGAAATTATCTTCACATTCACATTTCCTTTCATTTGGTGGACAGTGGTTGTACACCTGTGGGGTTATTACGTACACCCAGATAAAACTAATGCCGTCTAATACAACAGTCCTTCAATACATGATCAGTCCAGGTCAGAACATACGACAGTTTCACAACAGTTTCAACATTATAATCCTTGTAAAGGTGGGATTTATTGTTGTATTAGACAGCATTAGTTTTAGCTACATGTGCCTTATAAACTGGTAACTGAGGGTATATTAACAGAGCAACATGGAATAAAGTCAGTCAGTGATACCCTTTCAATACAGGAGACACATTGTAGGATGAATTTTAAATGCATGTTTGACCTCGCTCATATGAGATTCAATATCTGAATAGCCTGCAACTTACAAATCTCTCCTAATCATCCACATAAAACAGGTATTAAACAGTTACATTTCTCTCTTACATGCTCTTTATGATTATGTGAGTAGTATGTAAACATTGATAAATGTCATTTGAACATCAACAAAACTAAACAAAGTTCCCATCCCGTGATATGATTGAAATCTATATCAATGATTTAAAAAGAGAATTGTTTTTGTAGTATTAATACATAAAGATATGGCAGATCTTTGCAAAATAATCAAAATGAGTACACAAGTGGGAATTTCTGCATCACAATTTTAATTTTAAACTATTAAAATCATGATGAAGCAACATTTGTTAAGGTCTATAGTATGAAACAAAACATGTTTTCTTAAACTTGCAGTGCTTCATTATAATGTTGTTTTGTCACATTTTATCTTTATCAAGAAACTGTAGCTTCTCCGATTTGGATATTGCCATACTGCGATTAATTGTGTAGCCCCTAGAAGGCGGGTCTTATCTAATACCAGCCTGTCAGAGGCAGACGGCGAAAGAGAAGGAGAAACAAAAAACACCCACACAGGAAAGTTACAGTGCCACAGAATAGTCTCTATATAAACTACTTTCATCAGGACTGTGACAGACTACGAATGACTCTACAAGAGAGGAGTTAAACTCACCAGTACAGATGTCACAATAACAGAGATTTAGTAGTCGATACAAATACCAGTGAAATTACATGATACCGCTTTAAAAATGTCCCAATCAAGTTGGGTTTTTTTGCCCCAATACAATACTTTACAGGTCGATAGCTCTGCATTGCAATAAGAAAAACAGTGCCTGCAACCAAGCTGTTCCTTAATGATTTTATAGCCTAATGAACTCTCTCTGTAATGTTTTTCGAGTCCTGCAGAGTTTGTTGCTACAGTTGTTTCAGTGCAGCCTTTACCCGAGTTACCTGAATGAACTGTACTCTGCTCAGTGTTTATCTTCCTCGGCTGTACATCTTTTGTGCGGATTACATTAATAAATTACTCTTATATGGCTTTTGTTGCACTTGGAGTGGCGTTGAGAGTGTGCTTCTCTCTCTACCGTTTTCTGTCTCGCCTCTGACCAGGAGCTCAGACCCACCTGCTCCTGCTCCCACACACACACGATAATGGAATCGTTTATTTATTGGAATTTACCAAAACTACTCAAAGTTGCTAAATGCTAATAATGATTCATTGTGCGGCCATTGCTCAGATTATAGCACACAAGCAGAGATTCTTTGTGCTGCTTTCTGTGACATTGTCTTCCAGAGAGGAAATGTTCAGGATGTTTCATTGGGCATTTTTGCCCCTTAATGACAAACAATTGAAAAAGACATGAGGAGGTGGAATGACATGTAACAAACACCCACGGTTTGTTACACTTAAATGTGTACGGTGCAGAGGAACCATTCACTATTTATACTGTCCTGATTAAATTTCCAAACACAGGCTCGCTATAAAAAGGTTTGCACTGCAGATGCACCAGTGCTAAATATGTATGCCTTTATTCTAAAAGCTACATGAAATACTGGGAAAAAAGCCAGGATTGTTTTCATTTACTCTACAGCTCAGAGTTAGTTTATAGTATGACTGAATGTGTGAATATGTACTGACTTCTACCAAAATCATCCTGGTGTATTTCTTCTACAACCAAGCGTGCGTTATGATGTTTTCTCTTGCTGCGCACTCTGCTGCTAACAGAAATAATCTAATTCATGTGCTCCTAGGTACGCGTGTACCTTGTTTTGCTGTCTGCTTGGCTGCTTAATGAGAAAATTATTCTAATGTTTTCCTGTTTTTCTTGGCTCAAACCCATTTGCTGGTTTAATTCATGACAAGTACCCTTTGCTCTTCCTACAGACGCACACCTCGAGAGCTCGACGGTTATTTTCAGCGTACGTTTCTGTCCTCTGTTCTGCATAAGAAGTAGGATTAAGTTCACATAGAACATAACAAGGACTCAACCTAGACTCAGCTCTACTTGAACAACAAAATGTCTCCAATCAGCATTAACTACAGGAAATGACTATGAACACATGACTGCACTGGGTAAAAAGGAATCAGGATCTATAGCCATCCATTATGGCGTTACAGTTGGGCTCCAGCGCCCCCTTCCTGTCGACCACAGCAGCCAAATTGATACTTCGACAGAAACACTTAGGTAAAGAAAACAGCCCATTATCCTGAGCCTGATAATGTATGCCACGTATGCTGCTCATACATTTATGAAGCGCTCTGGGTTCTCTGCTGTCCCATTTACAGTTACAGTGAAGGGTTAATAACTACTGCAGCTCCTCCTCAGGCAGAGGCCTTTTTGCATTTTGCTTGTGTTGTTGTTTGAGAATATTTGATCACGCTATATAAATTAACCACAAATGTTCCTGTATTTGATGTTTTGCTGAGTTTTGGTAACTTTCCATCAAATCAAAATGTGTGCCACAAACTAATTTGTTTTTTTAATTATACCAACAACACCCAGTTCCACACACCCTCAGCAGTGCTTGAGAAATACTACGAGAAGCAGTAATTTCATTGTTACTGAGCACCGGCACCCTGGGAGGTACAGAATTGCTTTTGACATTTTACTGATTTGAAGAGCATGCAACCTGCTATTTATTTACTGTTTCACTAAATTAAAGTTTTCGCCGACTTCTTTTTTAAAATTTTATACTAAAAATGACTGATGTTGTTTATCTACTTCATTATCGTTTAATTTTATTGGTCTGACACATGAAGGTGATTAAACAGAACCGTCACATAGACACCCAACCATACAGTTACAGCTATTTTTAAGCTCTGGGTCTGATGCAAATCCCTGCAAATCCCTCTGGCTCATGTATATGTATGACACATCATGCCTGGCAGCAAATGTCCTCCATAAATCAGAACCCACTCTGAGTATTCTCATTAATTTTACAGTGCAATCAATGCACTCAATCTATCGACAACAACAACCATCTTTCAAAGCAAGACGACCTAAGAAACTAGAAGGACAGTCGAGTCTGTAATGTCATGTTCAACTATGTCCTGAGTAAATTCCCTGTGAGTGTTGTTAGCTGTCAGCTTGATCAAGGTCAGTCAATACGTTTTATCTGCAGGTGACAACTCAATCAGATGAACAAACATGAGACACAGATAATACTTTATATGTAGCATGGTACAAAGACAGTTCCCAAAATTATAAACTATGTATCTAAAATACTTTAATACTTTCTATATTTTGTCCCTTTTTTTCTGGGAAACAGCAACGTCCTCATTATGAATCAAAGGTTTAATGTGTGGGATTTAGTGGCATCTAGTGGTGTAGCTGCAGACTGCAACTCTGTCGCTTCACCCTCCCCTTTCAAGCGCGAAGGAAAATCTATGGTGGCGAACCGCCTGTTTGGTTTGTCCCTTCTGGGCTACTGTAGAAACATGGCGGTTAATCATTCTTAGGTAACAAAAACATACCGATTCCTATATTCAGGTGATGATACGGTAATGAAAACATAGTTTATATGCACATTATATTCCATTTCTGCCAATACATCCTCCCAAATGTTACACACTGGACCTTTAACGCACCGTTTTTATTACAAACGAGTATTTTTCTCTTATTAATCTTTAAAATCCAATTTCAGACATACAAGTAAAGCTGCTTCTTATTTATTTATCTGGCAGGTACCTGCAGCAAGAGTCTCAGATTGTATCAGTCTAAGATATGGACTTTCGTTTAGATCACAAACCACATTACCCTGTGGATGAATCACATACACCGTCAGATCTATTTCAGCTCGAACCCTCTAGTCACTATCAGACGTGTGTTACAGGTTAAATCATCCAGCACAACAGAAACAGAGAAGACGAGGGCTGGAGGAACGGAGTTAGAGACTGACCTGTGTCACTCTGGCTGAAGACAGCCATGGTCTGTCCACCCACTGTGTGCATCGTGAAGGGATGATCCCTTGGGACCTGCAGCGAGGCATCCTTCTCCCCCACAGCACCCAGGGTAGTCAGCTCCTCATTCAGAGTGAAACGTACCTGAGAAAACATAGCTGAGTCAAGGCCCTGCTGGCGAGTCGTCTTCACAACTTCGCAAATAGGGTCAAACATGTTGTGATGAAATTTTATCGATCCCTGCGAGGAAGCTGAGTCAACGCAGCAGCAAAGAGTGATGGGATACAACCGGCGGCGGAGGAAGCATTCAGACGCTTTACTTAAGTAAAAATAATAAAATAATACACTTTGGTACAAGTAGAAGACCTGCAGGACAAATGTTATTTAAAGAATTTTAAGTAAAATTACTCAATGGAGAATAATGTACATGTAAAAAGTAAAATTTTTTCCCTCTAATGTAGAGGAGGAGTAGCAGAAAGTGGCATGAAAAGAAAGGTACATGTACCTCAAACTTGTACTTGCGTATAGCAAATATAAAAAACATCAGTAAAAAGAAATATATGGCAATATGTATGTATATGTGCACAGAAAAACAATTAAAATCATTATGATGTGAAATGTGTTTGGGGGGGGGGTCTGTACCAAACAAACTACAGTACATTATAATGTTGTCAGTCACACATTTGGATATTCCACTTGGCCATAACACGATTTTGGATAATATTTGAATTAAATGTGAAGCCCTAATTAAAGTGAATGTATCAGTCACTGACGCTGTGTTATATGAAGCTGTCTCACCTCTGTTTTGCCTTGCTTCCTGTCAGGTGGACGACAAGACAGACAAAAAGTGATCATCACAAAGACAGAATTTAATTATATATACACACCGTAAAAACTTCAACTCAAAGCAGGGTCCTAACTAGACATTTGGACAAATAAAGGCAGGTCTCGATTAGAGATCAACCAGATCGGCCACTTTAGATAACCTACACAAATCTAAAAGTTTATATGTTATATGTTATTCCATAGCCTTGTTTTTTAAAAATAAAACCACTACTATTCATACTGGTTTAAATTTTAAATCACTGTTTAAGTAAGAGTTTTGTGCAAAATAAATTAAAGGCCAGTCCCCAATAAAGGCAGGTTGAGTTCAGTGATTGAAGCAAACATATTTATACACATATACACACACATATATACACAAATATTTATACACACACATATACACACATGTATTGTTAATGAAAATGTCGACAACTTACTTCCCAATGCTAATCTTTCCAACCTCTCCCTTGTCTGTGGCCTTGTCCCATTGCTGAGATAAATATTTGGGAACCTGTTGAGAGTTATTACAGATATTTACACACAAAATATTAACTGTTAACATGTCTTAATTTAACGTTTCTCCACAAAATGACCTGGAGGACACCTGCAAGAGGCCATGTTCGACCACCAGGTGTTAGCTAATAATCGACAACTGTGTAACCTCGTCGATTAATTTGATAATTTAATGATCTTCAAGTGGACAAACCTTTACAAGCCACACGCCCTGACTCTGTTTGACACCGGTTAGATTAATGTCCGACATAACTCAGCTATTATTATTATTATTATTAAACAATATTGTGAGAAAACCCGTCAACCTCTCGATTCTGTCCGTTGGGTCCAATGAACTGGAATATCTCCAAAATAAAACTTCCTGTCACGTCTTTCAAAATAAAACTCCGAGCAACTACACAATTAGTAGAAATTCTCGCACAGGAAAACTACAGAGTATGTTAAACAGCTTTTATAATAGTTATTTTATTTTCTCTTTTTTGAGCTGCTGCACTGACCAAATTTTATTAAATTGAAATTAGGTAGCTCTACTGGTTAAGTCACCCTTTGATGTGTAGGTACTTCCTAAGTATTACATTTTATAGGACCATCAATATGTTTCTTTCAATTTGTAATCTAGCAGCCAATGTGGATTCATTTACAGTAAACAACAGCTTGATACATTTCCAGTAAATATTTGATCTTCATGCATCATTTACCTGCAGAACAATTTGAAAATAAATAAATACATAATGACAAAGACAAATGTGTGCTTGTGGTTTCGGGAACTGCGGGCTAACAATTAAAATCACATGAAATCCCATTAGCCTGACAGTCACATAACTGTGTGGAAGTTTGTGGTAAACAACTATATCAAAAGGGTCTTAAAGGGTGGGTCCGGCTTTTTTACCTGATCCTTTACCAAAGACAAAGACCTTTATTATTTCAACTGATATGTGCATTTATATTTTATTTGTTTGCCGTACAGCAAAACTTGTTCCATATATTATTCCAGCAGAGAAATACTGTACAAACCATGCAAAGAGAGGAGGAGGAACAGGAGGTTAAAAGGGCCCAGTGGCTCATTTCTATTATTAAAACCATGATGGTCAAATTGATTGTTCTACTCAACTTCTGCTGGCCTCTAACGAAATATCCTCCTCATAATTTGGATTAAAAAGGACTGAGGTCATATTGCTGTATAGTATAGCTCAACCCAACTTCTAACCCTCCGAAGTCCGGCCCTCTAAATCACCACCCACATCTTGGATTTATTCAGCAAAGCCAAAGTGAAATTGTACTTCAGTCTAGTTATCAGGCCACTAATGTCCAGGGGTCAAGCATAGCAATGAAAGCATTACACGGTCCGTACTGTAGGTGGCTTTGTAGATGGACTGTAGCCCACAAGGTCCTTTTGTGCTTTCAGTTTTCCTGCATCTTTTATGATATTAATTTGAAAGATTAAATATCACACTGAAGTCACAGATAAAAATGTCCTATTAAAATGTTTGTACACAAACAAAAATGAGTTCACGAGTATATCACAGCCATATAAAACATATTTTAAGAGGGCAGAATAAAATATAAGAACAGGCATAATTAAACAGAGTGCTTAAACACTTGTCAAAATGATTAACAAGGCAATGGATTTGGACTGAGGCAACAAATCACTTTGCATTTATGATTTAGTGAACAGACTGACTGGCAATAATAAAGTGTTGATGGGAAAAAACATTTACTTTTCTTTATTAGAATGATCCCATTTCTTTTATCATTATTTTATATGAATGTGTATCTATTTGAATGAAAAGCCATTGAAACTGTTGTCTCCCTACGAAAACGGAGACTGACAGCATCCCCATGTGGATCGACAGATGACCTGCACTCTTTTACAATCATACTGTCAACAGTTCAGTTGTAGTTGCAGCAGGACTCAATCTGGATTTTAAATGCCTCATAACGTCCAGCTCCTCATCAGATTTCTGTCCATCACTGAGCAAATTCATGTCTTTCTTGAGATATGTTCCTCAGTGAAATCTGATGTTTCCAAAATATTGAATGGTTCTGGTTTTACACATGAGACCTGACAGCTCGAAATAGAAATAGAAATAGAAATGTTTGGTAATGACTGATTTTAAACACACAGAAATATAAAAGAAAGCCATTTAGCCTCAAACCTTTTTCATGTTCCTGCTTCATTGTTTACTCAAGACGCTATGAAGCAAAATGGCATATGGACTCTCAGATAAGGAGCCTTTTTAAATACTTGTACTTTATATATATAATTGTTCCTCTAACAATGCCGCTTTCATTTTAAAAACGAGGTTTCCCAAATAATATTTAAAGACCCTTCTGTGAGTCATATGAAGCAGTCAGCCAGTTCAACAGTGCACTAATTATTTCACTAAATAAATTATGTATGTACAGCTTGAGACCAGAGTAAATCAAGATTAGCTTTCAAAGTCATTAACATGAATCATTGACTTGGATGTAATTAGCGCACAAGAAAACTGCAGAGAAGAAAATACAAAAAGGAAGAAAATTAAATATTTATGACATTACTGAATATACAGAAAACACACATAGTACTTAATATTACATTAAAGTTAATATCTACAGCTCTCTGACAACAACTGCTAAACTTGTTTGTAAGATGGTAAAACATTTTAAAGTTTTGCTCATCTCTTGAAAAAATACACACACACTTTAAAGAGCTCATGTTCCTAAAGACTGATGTGAAGTTTGAATGTGTTGATTTATTATTGAGGAGGTGAAATATAATATAGCTGACAGGTTGACAGTAGTTTGTAGTTCTTCTCCAATGATCTTCTGGCTTCGTCTAAACCAAGATCATCTCTGGAGAAACCTGGACAAACTCCTGTTTGAAGAGTTGTTTGTGAAGGAAAGAGAAGAGAGACTTAAAGACAGCTTCTTAATATAGTGGAGTAACTGAGTACTTTAATCTTGCCCTTTACCTCTGCAGTTGATTTGCATGTATTGCCACCTTGTGGACAACTACTGGAACTGGACATGGTACAACTGTATGTATGAATGACTCCATGAACGAACGAATGAATGAATAAAATAGCATTAATAAAAATTCTATACACTCAATAGCCTCAACTGTTTTTCGCTATAATATTCTTCTTAAATGAGGTGAACTATATATTGTATGTATGTTATAGTCTTGCACACACGCAGGGAACTTTGCCATCGTTAAGGCTCATGGTTGTTTTGAAGAGGTATGAGCAGTAGTGTAGTGGGTATACTCTTAATTTATGCCCTAAAATATTTGCCCACCTTGTGTTATAAACAGTTACATGTAAGACTACTGTACTTAACTTCTGCAGCTTGACTTCAGGGAGCGAGGATCATTATAAAATTAAAATTAGCCCCAGAAGAGGTGCAGATTGTGCAATCAATACTGGCCCACAGAGGGGCGAGACAACTAGATCATTAGTGAAATATTCCTTCAATATTCAAGATAATTGGACAACTATATCATGCCTTCACCAAATGTAAGGGGGGGAAATCAGCTTACAGAAGAGGGACTCAGAAGTGGGTATACTCAGTACAGACTGATAAATCAATAGGTTTACCCTCTGTCTCCGTGTATACCTTGTACTACATCAGTGGGTATGAGGCCAATTATTCTAATGAGATGGATGTCATTTTAAATCATCCTACAAGAGGTGTCACCAAGCTTTTTTCTCTTCTTGCCTTAATTTTAAAAAATAAGCTGACAAACACTGCATGCTCTACATATTTCAATGATTGCCACGTCAACGGATCAATTAGTGCATTTTATCCAAGATTTTGGACCAATACTACCATTTATTGTCCCCAGAGGATGAATCCTAATTCTCTTTGAGACACAACCATTCAACCATCATGGTAAAATGCTAATTGTCACTCAATTTACTGAACATGCTCCAGAGAAATTGATCTCTTTTCATCTGGATCACTCAGACACTGCATGCCTTTCTTGTAGCGCCATTCTGAGGCCAAAGTGTCATTTTACAGTAACATGCTAAGATATGATCTGATAGGAAGGTCTGATAGGAACACATTCACGCTCCCAAGGGGATAAACCCTTTTAATCTTTAATGCTCTCATTTCCTGCAGCACCACTTTATTTAATCCCACTATCAGTAAGATGATAAAAAAAACAGAAAAAGTCGTAGTCCTGGAGTAGTTATACAACTCTTACTAACAGCTCCAAGTGAAAATATTGTACCTTGTTCTTGAGGTGGTTTTTCAGTCAGTATCTTTACTGAACTTTTGATACACAAACAGAAATCAATCAGTAGCAAAGGGGAAGGCTGTGGCGTACATTCAAGAAACATAGGGGAGAAATCAAATCCCTGTATACAGTACAGCACACTTATATTAAACACATATGGCAGTCTGTCCATAGCAAATCAGTTATGTATACGCACATTAGGTTGTTTCCTAACTGTGATCCACCCTTCATCACTTGACTCCCACAATATTACTGATATTATTATTATTATTATTTTTAGTAGTATTGTCCATCGCCCCACATCATTATGGCTGTTGTCGTCATCATCATCATCATCATCAGTCATTTCAATTTTTATAGTTGTTGTGCACCTTTGTCTCTCTCTCTCTCTCTCTATATCTGTCTGTCTGTCTCTCTCTCTCCCTTGCTCTATCCCTCTCCCTCTCTCTCTGTCTCTCTCTCTCACCCCAACTGGTCGAGGCAGACGGCCACCCAACTAGAGCCGAGGGGTCTGTTTGAGGTTTCTGCCTCTAAAAAGGACGTTTTTTCTTGTCGCCGTCTCTGTAAATAATGCTATAAGGAGTTCGGTCTAGACCTGCTCTATTTGAAAAGTGTCCTGAGATAACTTTTGTTATGCATTGGCACAATACAAATAAAACTGAATTGAATTGAACCTCCATTAATTTCCCTGCACAGAAAGTGAGGATGTGATGCATATTTTAATAACAATAGGCAGCAAACAGTTGTGGCACTTGGCACTGGTCTTTGGATGTGGATCAATATAACTTCCTGTGCCCCCAAATGGATCTCTCCGCACTGTGACCCAGAACAAAAAAACAAAAAAAACCTGGCCATATCTGTGCAACACAAAGAGAGAAACCAGCCACCACCTGAAGCTTAACACAGAGAACGGCTCTCATCTATACCAGGACATCAACACACTAAAAGACTCTAAAGTGTCCCAGCTGCTGGCAGCAGTTTATCGGCATCATTGGAATGTGTTGAAAATGTGTGTGTGTGTGTGTGTGTGTGTGTGTGTGTGTGTGTGTGTGTGTGTGTGTGTGTGTGTGTGTGTGTGTGTGTGTGTGTGTGTGTGT